GGTGTTAGTGAATGTAAGAGGATATATGTGTCATCGAGTGTCTCCTGAGGCCTCAAAAGGGCAACAGCGTGACTGGTAGGGCCAGAAAAGGTTCCGCTCCTGTTCGCACCTCATTAATACCTCAACTCCTTGCCAGTGGTGTTCTTCTTGTGCTTGTCATGATTTAAACAACCTTATTGATTATAGATGAGCGAAAGAATTTTCAAGCAAATTAGCACCATTGTTGCCCTGAGAGAACAAGGGAAATCAATCCTTGCGGTGACTGTGAGCTGCGGAAGTTGAGTTTTCGTTTACTATTGGCAAGGGCGAGGGTATGCTGCTCACAACCTGTCCTGCTATCATATCAAATGCTTTCAGACTGAGCCGTCTTTGAGTTACCAAACTGTTAGACGTTTTGTAAGGAGATTCGAAGGTGTTCGTTCTTCAAAAAAGGCCATCACACCGCGTGCTCACCGTGGTTTGTGAACACTTTTACTGCTTCCCATCACCCAGGAGGTCGCTTGTTTCAGAACACTACCATGAAATTCTACTGGGAAATTGAGAGATGTTATGAGAACAATAGTTCTGCAACATCTGTAGATGTAGTTAACCGCCTCAAGACTCGCGGGATTATCGTCAGCACTGCCCACATCAAAAGGCTGCGACGGCGTCTAGGATTCAAGAAAACTACAACCAAATATTGCCACACAATAAGAGACACTAATAAGCTGGCTCGTCTCGATTTCTGTTCAGAAATGCTTGCGGCAGGAGTAATGTTTTCTGACTGTGTCTTTACCGACGAATGCACAGTTCAAAGTAAGGATGTCATGAGTAAATCTTAGTCCGTATTTGACATAACTTCTATCCAAATTTCAGTTGACTGTTCGACTAAGTTCTGTTTCGTAAAACAAGGGGATCAGTATTCAAGAATGCGCAGCAGGGCCAAGCATCCTGCAAAAGTTCACATTTGGGGTGGTATCTCGGTCCGAGGCACCACCCAATTCGCTATTTTACCTGGGAACTGCCGAATTGACAGCGAATTGTATTGTAGAATTCTCGAAAGATGCTATCTTCCTTTTCGAACGAGGGTTTATAATGGTTTGTTCACTCTTGCAGTCAACGTTGTTTATGAGTTATGAGCACTCAATTATAATTATAAACTACAGGATATTGCCGTCTTGTGCAGGACAACGCGCCACCACATAAAAGTCGCTATACGAGCGACAAGCTTAGGAGCTGGGGGGTCGATACCATGGCGTGGCCCGCGGAGTCACCCGACCTTAACCCAATCGAACTCGTTTGGGGCAATATGAAGATCTGTATCAGGTAGTTAATAGAGGGCACTATGAAATACAAGTGCCCCAAGATTCAATTTTTTGATATTTCTCCAGGAAGCAAGGAGTCCGCAGTTTGAACGACCTCAAGGTGGCTATCGCCAAGTACTGGAAAACGCTCACCCCAGAAGTATGCGCCAAATACGTTGGCGGTATCAGGAGGAGGATGGAGCGTATTGTAGAGCAACGAGGAAGAAATATTATTGAGAATAAGTAAATTGGCATAAATAGCTTTTAATTAGCAATAACAGACACAGCAGTTTATTTGGAAATGCTCCTCTGTCGAGGGAATATCGAACACAGCTCCCTTCTTCGATCATGACTGACATGTACTTCTTCCTTTGATTGACCCCAAAATGTATTGATTGGACCCACATGTCTTGTGAAAGTTGTTAAAGTATATTTCCACTGTAACACGATTGCGAACTTTATAAATGTGCTTGTTTTGTTCAATACACTATCGACTACTCGGAGTAATCAATACGAGGCGTTTCGATCGATACGGGATTTGTGATATTGACGACACGCAAATCCCATGAAAAAACTTTTCTTGGCATGTGACAAGCGATTAACATTCAGCCACCTTGAGAGGCGCGCACAACGAATAGCTTGGCGTAGTGGTAGTGCTCGCGCTTCAAACTCTGATGAGGAAAGTTCGAATCCCTCTAACTACTGATCGTTTGCAATAGTCACATACATGTCTTTCAGCTATGCTTTGCTTTCCTTCACTCACCTAACAGGTGAGTAATGGGCTTGACATCGTGAGCTTACAGCCACCTCGTGTAGACCGCGGCT